AAAATAATATATATATATATATATATATATATATATATAAGATAAGGTAAATTACCCAGTCAGAATCAGAAGAAAGAGCTATATCCGAATCTAAGTTTCAAATGGACAGCAACTGCCTGTTGTAGAAACCTACAAATGTAGAGGACGACGTTTTGAAAGGCTTCCGCTTTTCGTCTTCAGGTCAGTGTGTGTGTGTGTGGTGTAGTTTGGTCTTTATAGTGTTCTAGTGGATTGTGGAGAGCGTGTTATGATTGGTTGGTTAAAACACGTTTCGAATTGGAGGAGAGACTTCCTGTAGCCTCAACCAATGGTAGCCACAGTTCACTCACCTCTAATCCCAAATCTGTGTTTAGTGAAGAGTATAACATCTTATCTGCTCAAAGTTGGCAAATTGTAGTGCAAATCTGTGGGCCATCAAACTTGGGGCAAGGGCCGAAGAAGGTCAGTTCATAGAACGATCAATCTCCCAATTTAGTAAAGCTGAAAATCATCCTGCAGAGTACCATGACCTGAAGCCTGTGTAAAGTACTAATAATGGAACAGATAACCTCCGAAGTGGTAATGGAAAATTCATAATGCAAAATGAATAACCAAATACAACTGTGTTGGTAGAAACAATAAACATTTTTTGGAATGAAGTAATAAGTTCCATAACCGGGTAAAAATATAAAATAATTCCACTTCAGAATAATGCATAAGTCACAAATATCACTATTGTACAATAAAGAGTAAAGTTGTTGAAAGAAATTAATAAATAGATACAGAAAAATATTAAAATAAAACACCTGAAGAGTTGTTCAGGTACTTGCCATGGGATCACCACTCTCTTCAATCTTAACAGACATTTTCATGGAATACTTTGAAGAAAGAGCCCTCTCATCCACACATATATGTACAGAAATTTACATTGTGTTAATGTAAAACAATATTTTAATTTTTCTTGTCTTCCAAAATTTGTCTGTGTCGATGATTCTAGCTTTTTCCTAGTTTATGTTGTGTCCAGTTGACATGGCGTTTTCTGCAATGGCCAAATTTTGTGTTTTCATGAGTCTTGTGCTGTCTTTGTTCCTTTATTCTTGTCCCGAGTCTTCTTCTTTATTTTTCTTTTCTGTTGTGGTCTTCTTCAGGGAGTTCTTGATGAAGGAAGAGGTGTAACCATTTAAAACAATGCATGATGTTTTGGCATTCTGTTTCAATGGATGTGTTATTGCAAATGTTTTCTGCTCTCTTGTTTAGGCACTGGATTATACCACTTTTATCCAGTTTGGATGATAGGACTGGAAGTGTAGGTATCTGTTCGTGTGGGTGGGTTTTCTGTATACAGTTGTGGTGATTTTTCCCTCTTGTCTGTTGATCAGTATGTCAAGAAATGATAAGCTATTTTGTTCCTCTATTTCCATGGGGAAGTGAATATTCTTGTCTATGGAATTAAGGTGTTGTAAGAAGGCTGTTAGGCTTTCATGACTGTGGGGCCAGATAACGAAAGTGTCGTTAACATAACGTCTGTAGAAATTTGGTTTTATATGTGTGGATGAAAGGGCTCTTTCTTCAAAGTCTTTCTTTCGTATCACCAGACAATGACTACTGAATGACAACTCTATACCACATAGAACCAACATGAAGATAGATGGCATCATGGAACTAATGACTACTTGCCTACAATCAACTTATTTCCAATACAACGAGGAATTCTACGAACAAACAGATGGTCTAGCCATGGGATCACCACTCTCTTCAATCTTAACAGACATTTTCATGGAATACTTTGAAGAAAGAGCCCTCTCATCCACACATATAAAACCAAGTTTCTACAGACATTATGTTGATGACACATTGCTTTTATGTCATGTTGCTTAGCAACAAAAGAATACTGTTGTTAGTCTATGTGCTGAAAGTATAAAATGAAATGTATAGACAACAAAACTGGATAACTTAGAGTCTCTGTTTATTAAAGAGGTATGTTTTTTATTAAAACATTGTTGATATAACAGAAAATAGCTTAATTCAGTAACAATTTAAGTTTGAAATTAAATTGATATTTTTTACTTTCATGATAAGTTTTATGCATTTGGCTCTAGGCTAGGTGATCTCACACCATGTCTTTACTTTAGGCTTATTATACCAACACTCACTATACTTATAAGGTTTCACGGCATCCCACTCTCACAGCCCTCTTGCACCTCTGTCACTAAGATCATAATAGGCAGACAGTAATTGAACTATTCTATCTGAATAAATGGATTTTGTCTTTTATGATGACTCCTATTTTGAGAAATCAAACACGACATGACACACACTGGCTTTTATATAAGTTAGATCTCAAGACAAGGTATCTGTTAATATTGAAATAAGCCTGTTGTCAACTTACTTGTACTAGTCAAGTATATTTCACAGAATGCTAGACTAGAAAGTAAAAACTAACATATTATACTGATTTGTATCAGACCAATACTTATAATTAAGAACAAAAGCAATAAATAAAATAATAAAATTCACAACTTAATTACAATGAAGACTAACCTTTAACACACTTATAGCTTGAACTTAACATAAATGTTCCTCTTTCACATTCACATTTATTACCAAAAGGGTTGCACCAGACATAGCCTTTCAGATGAGTACAATCATGTTGTGAGCTACACTGATGATGAACCTCCAACGATGCTGAAATAGTTAAATTTAATGTGATAAAGATAATTTTAAATTATATTATTGCTATCTATCTACAATTTAATGCCATGAAACAGTAATACCATATTCATTGACTTCCAGATTTTTAAAAACACACAGTATTATGTACACCACTAAAAACATTCTGATTAGATCTTTTAAGTTTCATTTTCAATGACAGAAATCAGTCCTGCTAATTAACAAATAATATGTTCTTCACTTGAATGAGTGATTTCACAAGAATCCAGCAAAAGAAATCAGTCCTGCTAATTAAAATAAAGTAGAGCAAAATACCACAAACTGACCACAAAGTATCAAAATTAATGTGCAATAAGGTCAGATATTCTTGGCCACAACTATATTGTAATTTTACTTGCAGAAACTGTAAAAAAGGATCATTAGAACAAATATTAAGCAGTTTTTATCTATTAATCACAGCATTTTTTCATTAAGTTTTTGCTAATATTTTGTATTATCCAATAAGTTTATTACGTTTATTTTCATTACCTGTATATAAAAATTTATTAATAATATTACCTTTTCTTATTCCCACTTTAAAAAGTTTTCTTACTTCACTACAAGGCAAATAAAGTGTTTTGTGCCTTATTTATTTAGCTTATTGTTTAGTTTGTGGTACTTTGAGATTATTATGGTTATTTTGGGGAACATTGTAGTAATTAGCAGGGCCTAAACAAATCTTTATTTCTGCTAAAACTGCCAGTAAAGCTATTTTTCCCTTATTACTACAATAATCTCAATTTTCACTTTTCATCACTAATTACACTACTACATTAATACTATCAAAAAAATATTGTAAGGTACTATAAGAAATTAGGCATTTAAATGTTGAATGAATGGAAAGAGTTCTCATTTTAATAAATGAATATTACAAATGAATGGATCTAACTCTAACTTAACTAAAGTTGTATCCACAAAATTAGTAATTATATAATCATTCACACTTAACATCAGGTTAAAGCTATCATTAGTAACAGTTTCCAGTGTACACCCAAAACTTATATACATACATACACCACTGATATGTCTGTTTTCAGAAATTTTGTGCACAATAACAGAACATTTATTACATGTGCAAATGATATATTTAAGTAGAATATATTGTAAAATGTCATACTGTTGCAGGGGAAATAAATCATTTATATCTAGGCATAACATCTCAGTGTATTAAGGATTCAAACAAATTCTGTGTATGTGTTTATAATATGCAAACCACTGCAATGATTGATACTAATGCTAGTGTCTACAGTTAAAAACGCTCTGGGGAGTGACAGAGGGAGGGAAGTTGGCACTTGTATCCGCCCTCCCCCCAGCAGCACTTCTTTCTTCCTCTTTCTAAATGTCCAATTATAAATGGTTAATTGCTAGACGAATTGTAACTGAACCTGACATATACTCTCAGGTCCTTTTGGAGAGTGACACTGGGGGATAGAATTCTAATCTGACCCTCCTATATCACTCCTAGGAACCCTAAATCTTTCCTTAAACAGATACATCAGCTAGCAGATAATACATATTAAAACATTCATTATTACTGCTACTACACAGGAAACGTGTGGAAACTGCTACAAATCAACATATTTTTGCATACTCACGGAAACTGTCAAATGGTAAAGTTAAAGTTCATTAGATTGGGAAGCAAGTAGTTAACAGTACAATTAGCAGACAGCTCTCATAGGAACTACCAATAACTATATTTATGGTATACATAGATAACAGCAACAAACTACAACTATTCATATTTTTAATAACACCAAAGATGTTAAGCCAAATCCAAAATAAAAGAAAAAACAAAACATGTTTTTGGGTATGATAAGTTAATAAATTAAGGAGCAATATGTGTTACAAAAAAGAAGTGTGAAAGAGCTCCATATGGTGAAGAGATCTCTTTCAAGAAACTTCTATATATACTGTTACTGTGTGACAGAATGAATCCCCCATTTAGTGTTCAGAAATAGACTGCTGATCTATGCACAAAATTATTATTCTATTTGTACCTGTAGAATTTAAATACATTGGAACCAGTGTTACTGGGTTAGAGGGGTATAAATCTCTGAATTTTGCAGTAATTTCATACTGATCACTGTAAAACATACCCATAGCTTCACAAGTTTCCAAATATATACATATATATAGTTAGATAGATAAAGACAGTAGACATCAGACTTAAGAATGGATAACCTCCTTTCACAAGTAATAGTAAATTGCACCATAACCAAGATACACAATGACAGGACACAAAATTTCAATGGAGAATTGTTATACAAGTAAATGCACATATCAGAACAAAATAAGTAACATAAATCTCTAACTCTATTATATGTAAGTTTATTCTTATAGAAAATCACACTTTCATAGGGTACTATACATGTAGTATGCCAATAATGTGGTTTAGTACCAATAACATATACTTTAAATTTTTTAACACCAATTTTTTACATTCAGAAAAAATTAGGACACAAGTTTAATGACAATAATATCACTTAATTAAAATTCATAACTAGCAACAAATGTGGACATTACTGACAACTAAATTTTTAATATTGTTTGTCTTTCATACAGTAACTTCCAATCAAACTCAAAGAAAGCTATGTACTTAAGGTAAAACTCAAAATCAACTACCCATCAGTAAAAATTTTGTTCTTAAAATATAAAAGCAGTACCTGAACTGATCACAGCTGGATTATTCTCATTTATCTTACTGCACAAAGAAACTGAATAGCAATTACCATAAATTAACTAGCACTTTCAAACAGTCTTACACTGAATATTTAAAATACCATTAACAATGACACATACAGTACACAGAGTTTGTTGTGTTTACACCAACCATCTACTTGACACCAGTGTAAACACTGTTTATCAACTCTGCAAGATGTGGATGACTTACGTGAATGCAACTTGCAAGATACACTGGGCATAACGTTAACAGCCATAAGCTTTACAAATTACACATAATGACATATTAACTCACTGTTCACTGTACCTGTTATACTATATCCTGTACTATAGCATTTTTAAGGTAATGACTGTGATTATTACACTAAATGTAATAGTATTTTTCCAAGGTCATACTTACCTGTATAATTGATTACTAATGGAATGCTACCACATATTTTAACACCAGTCTCAGTACTCAATAACGTTAAGCCTAATGTTAGACATACAAAAACGAACTTCGAAAAAAAGTTGAACACTGATGGCATCCAAACGTTCATACAATGCACCTTTCGTAGTTTCTGCATTAAAGCAGGTTTTTATATTAAAAAAAAACAACACGAAAACTATTATTAGTACTAGTAGGACTAATATTATTGGTCTATGTAATTAACCCTTCACTATTCTTAAAAGTACAGATTGGTTCCACCTCAACATCATAAATTATATTAACTTTACAATAATCACATTTTATAACTAACGTTAATACCAACGTCAACAACGATTTGACCTCTCGAAACGACTAACATAGAAAAAAAAAAAGATTATTTTTACATAACTTAGTTCGACAGTATTTTATTGTTTACTACCACCAGTATACGTATCTCGAACTATAAATTACAATATTCAACATAACACACCCTAGAGACCCGTAATCCAACAATTAACATTCACACAATTTTTTATTTCATGGAATAACGTTAAATCAAATACAAAGCATAAGATTTCAAACAAAATAATAAACTCGTTGGTTGAGATTTTTAAGACCATAAAATTATTTATCTTATTACTTACTAATAAAGTTTTGTTTTAACAGTACGTTTACTGATTTTAATGGAAAAAAAAAGTTTACCAAATTAGAAAAATACACGCAAAATAAAAATTGAAGTGCTTTGTCATAAACGGAACTGGTACAGTGGCTTAATATGTTTATGTAATAATTTTACACAACATTCTATTAATTCTATAGTAATTAATAACTGTCTGATTTCACCTTTCCATAATTAGAATAGAAATATATTTCTTCAGATATTCATTTATATTCAGGATTGCTTTTATCACCTTTTTTTCCCCCAGAAATTCTGCTCTTAATAATTGGAATCCTTGTAAGCAGTTTAAAGGTAATAGCTAAATTTCTTTTATTATTGTCTAAAGCGAAGATTATATACTACAGTGGTAATTTCATAGAGTTTATACCACCCATAGCCAGGTGTTTATGTTGCCTCTAACTAGTACAGATTGGGTCGTAACCAAGCTCAGGTTTGTTCACGCTGAATGAGCTGGTAGCTCATCTTCTTTCCCTTGAATTTGTAATGAGAACCACCAACTAGGATGCTGCACAAGGACTTTGGTCTCATTTAGAAATGTTGCATATACACAATAATTTCTTGTTTTAAGTCATGCAAGTTTCACCCTTTCATATATAATAAAAACGTATACTTATTTGTGTATATTCTGGTTTGTTTGTATTTTTTCAAATTGTCATGCAGGTTCCTTATAGTTAGTGGTGTACTTATAAGGTGAATGTGAAAAATTGTAAACTTATGTTAATCTATCAGATTAAAGAACGGTTGCATACCACATCCATCCGAATCGTGGTAGTTATTGTGTTAAAATATTGTTACGTCTCTGGTCGTTTGTTAATTTCCGGTATAAATTCTTAACGAGGAACTTCAGCGATACAAGTCCTTTCTTAAATAAAACTAGTTTATTCTTTCTCAATACAACTTTGCAATACACATAATTTCTACAGTCACTTTAACTTAAACACACGCTATAATTCACAACGATTCACGCACTTTAATCACGGTCACTACCGCTCGCTTGACTCAATTATCTGCCTCTATATCTATCTATCTGTAATTATATCTCCGCTTTATTTGCCGGACTTCTAAACTAAAATAGAGGGCGCCTGGAAAAGACTAGAATTGCCAAGAAAAGTCATGATCCTTCTAGAAACTCATAACGTGTTACCCGAGTCACGTGACTTCCGCTGTCATAACAATATCTTTCAGGCCCCAAGGGGGTCTGATCATGAAAGCTAACCAGGGGCAGTCAGAAACTTCTGTTTCTCTTCACCCCACTTCATGATTTAGGATTATATGGCACGTTAATATGAAGGATTTTGAACTAACAAGGGTGGAGTTTTTTTTATTAGAAACATAAATGTTTGATGCTATATTATTATGGCGAAGCATCTCAAGACGCCAGGAGAAGCCGTGTTTGTGGAGATCTGGAAATACGGTGACAGTAGGAGAGTTGTGAGCTTCCTGTTGATAGCTGCTGCTTCTTGAGATTGTTGAATACAGGATTGAGGATGTATGTCGATGAATGACAAATGACCAAGGCTGTTCCAAAATTCAAAAGTTGCAAGTATAAACATATGACTGATTTAATCAATTTAATTTGCTGTTTAAATAAATTAAATAAATTGATTTAAACATCATGAATTATTGTTTAACAAAATCAAGAAATTTGTTTTTGGTTTAAGCATGCTAAGATGCAGTCCTTTTTAGGGCTGGGATTTATAGATTCAAACCTAGTTAGATAATTTTGCTGTAGGAGGAAATGGGAGTACCCCCAGAAACCCCACTTTCACGGCCAGTGAGCCTAATAAAATTGCCCTGACCATGCCGGGAAGAAGCTGTAGAAGAAAATCATAGGTTAGTATTCATGGTAAGATACTTTTAATAATAATTAATGAGGGATAAAAAAAGCTGGATGGTTGATAGGTCGATGTTAGGATAGATAGGTCCTGGTTGTTGTCGGAGTTGGGTTCACTTGAGCTGGGGTGGATCAGGTGAAGGAATGGCTACTTTAGTAGGGCGATATTTCATGGTTCAGTAGGGGCTTCAGACTGTTGAGCTTTGGGAGTCTGATGCTTCTTGGAGGATCAGGTTGATCTTTGGAAGTCTTTGTCGGGTTGGCCCTCAGTCTGGATGCGTCTGTCTTCTCTGGTGATCCGTGTCTGTGTTTCTTGGCTGATTAGTTGAGGGCTGTCTGTGGCAGTGGATGCGTTGCACTTGGTGATCTGGGGTTTTGTAGTCAGGGTCTGTTGTTAGGTCTTCATGAGTATAATTGTCCGTGTGTTCTTTTAAGTGGCTTTGTTGGTGGCTGGTGGTTCTAAGTGAAGCTTTGGTAGTCTATTGGTTTGAGATGACTGAAGAGAAGGCTTGCTGGTACTGTTTGTAGAATAAGCTGGGCGACAGTGCGGGCGTTCGGCTGTGAAATGAAAAAAGTGATAAGAGCAACCATTAAAAAGTTTGTTTGAATTTCGCACAAAACTACAAAAAGACTATCTGTGCTAGCTGTCCCTAATTTAGCAGTGAAAGACCCATCACCCACTCTTGGACTACTCTTTGACCAATGAATAGTGAGATTGACCATCGCATTATAATGCCCCCACGGCTGAAAGGAAGAGCATGTATGGTGGAACGAGGATTTAAACCCGCGACCCTCAGATTATGAGTTGAGCATCCTAACAACCTGGCCATGTCGGGCCCCATTAGAAAGAATATAGTTTGCTGTAAGTTTAGATGTTGTGACAACTTTGATGAAGTGGGTGATATGGCCTGTTGTTCTGGTACAAATCCAGTGAACTGCATGAAATTTTATCTTGGTGACTTCTTCTAAGGTCTGTTGAGTTTCTTCTGGCATTATAGTAGGGTCTACGCCCCTGAGAAAAACAGAAAAAAAAGATTAGTGGAACTCTTTGGTATTGCACAAGTTACATTAGGGTAAGCATTTCATGGGTTACACAAGTATGAAAGGTCAGCTTGAGTTGAGGGTTGAAGACAAATTCCACCTCGTCGAAGGATTCGGATCTTTGTAGGGCCGATGGATGCTCGTGTTTTAAATTTGTCGATAAAGGTGATGATTTGGGGCAGGGAGAAATCCGGGGGTAATCCATCCAAGATTACAAGAGATACTTGCATGGTTCTTGGTGTAGAACCATCTGGCTTGAGAAACATGATGATTGGAGAGAAAGCACGTCTTTTTCGCTTGGCTTCAAAACTCGGAATCGAGTATACCCCTGCATACCACAAATGTTCTGTAAAACATGTATATATATGCTTTATCCTGCTCCTATCCTCCTAAAGTGAAGTCGTTCTTACATCACATAGTGACACAAAGACTTGTATAAATTGATATGAATTGGAATTTATTTCCTTTTTATATTTATAATGATAATTATCAATAACTGTTATATATGATATACCGCAGACTATTTGATGTCGTGTAACGATATAATGGAATTTAGCATACTCTTATAGTTGATGCACACAAATATCGAATAGAAGTATGTAGTTCACTCCACCATGAATGTATTTGTTGTTATAGAGGTTAAGTCCAGTGCGTTTGGTGCTGTTTAGAGAAGAATATAACAATTGGCGACGAGTATTAGGGAAAAAAAAACTCGATGTAAATAAAATATGGAACATTCAGATGTGTGTGTATTGGCTAAAAAATCATGAAGAACTGTTGTTATTCAGTCGCATGAGACATTGTTTTGATCACCTGACACTAAGCTGTGGTGATCTTGGTGTTTTGTGGCCTGTGCACGCATGCAACTCTATCTTCATATTAACTTTTAGTGTTAACACCACATAATTATGCTGGGTGGACAATAGTAACAGTGGTCACATCGACCATATGGAAAATCCTGATGAGTCGATAGTTGGGATTCATATGAAGAGAGACTTCAAAATTATTTTGTATGCAATGATGCCCTTGACCACTAGAAAGCTCCCACATTACCAAGCCTCATCAGTGGACAGATGTATCACTTACTGAGGAACCTAACACACCCAAGGAAGCTGTCACAGGAAACATATGTCAGTTTATTTCAAATATTAAATAAGCATCTAAATCCTAAGACTATTATGATTGATGAAAGATTTAGATTTTTTGGAAGAGATTAAAAGGAGGGAGAATCCTTGAGAGATTTTCTTGCTGCTATCAGAAAACTGTCAGAATATTGTGAATTTTGTGACAGACTTAGTTACTATCTAAGAGATAGATTTGTGTGTGGCATGAATAGTCAAAACTTTCAAGATGAACTTTTAACAATTAAAGAGATAACATATGAAATGGAACTAACTAAGGCTTTTGCTGCTGAACTGCAAGGTAAACATCTTGATGTACACAAGTTATAAAGTAAGAAGACAAAATCCAAGAATTGCAAGGGAACATACAAAAGGAATCAGGAAAAGACACCCAGGAAATATGAGGAAAAATGTTTTAGATGCACGAGAAAGGGACATAGTCCTGATGATTGCTTTCACAAAGAAAATAAGTGTTTCGAGTGTGGAAATATTGGACATTCACTTAAAGCATGTAAGCAAAAGAAACCAAAAAATAAAGTACATGGTTTGGAGGAAAGCAATTCCAATGATAGTGATGATGGCTTCATAACATCACTAGGCGTAAAAACTTTGAACAAGTCCAGTCAAGGGATTATATCTATAATTTCAAAAGTAAATGGGGGTTTCCTTAGATATGAAGCTCGACACAGGTGCTACAGTGTTAGTGATTGCCGAGAAAACTTCGAAAAAAGTTATCAGGGGAAAGCCACTAGTTAAA